CTTTTTTAACTAACGGTTCAGTGTTATCTTGCCATTTCAATTTATAGTTCATGGTTAAGCCCAAAATTTTGAAAGAAGGAACTAAGTCTAGAGGTAAACCATCAATGAGGAGTCGGGGGATGTCATTCTCGCTACGGACGAAACTCACTATCATTTCTTTGCATTTCTTTCCGTTCAATTTCATGTTGTTATTAATAGTCCATCTTTCAATTGTGTTAAGATCAGATTGTAAGACTGAAACTTCATTTTTCTTTAAGGACTCCGATATTGTTACGTCATCCACGTATTTCCAATGGTCAGTGCTAGAGGATGCCAGTTCAAGATCGTTGATCATAATTATGAACAAAATAGGGCCCAATTTAGTTCCTTGAGGGACACCTGCGTTATTGATGCCCCAATCAGATTGGAAATCGTCGATCTTTACCGATTGACGGCGATTTGAGAGAAAGCTGCATATCCATGGAATAAGCGACAATCGGACGCCAAGGGCCAGCAACTTTGGGACTTATTATGCGTCTTATTTGCCTTGTCATTGCATTCTATTCCTGTAAGTTCCTAAATCTATATCGAGCACAATAATTAAACGCACACAGTAAAATTTTTGGGCGATGTTTTTAATATTTTGACAGCAATCAGTCACAGCATGAGCCACTGGCACCAGCAATCCTGCAATTTCTATTTTCTAATCGATAAAATAAAAACGAATGTCAATTTTCTAGGCCTTTCTTAGGCTACGTATTTCAATCAATCATTACTGAATTCATCTATGTATTTGCAATGGCATACACCAATTCTGGTACATAAAACTTTGAATGAAATTGAGGATACATGGTGTATGTAACGAAATGGAACAACGCGTAGAATTTCGCCTGCTATTTTATTTTCAATCAAAAACTTTTTATTACCTCGGGTCGGTACGACACCGAGGTCTTAAATTCGGCTCCTATTTTTTTCCTTGTTTTTTTTATTGTTTTTCATTTGTGTCGAGCCGCGCGCGTAGTCGAAGATCGAAGGGCCTGCGGAGGAGACGACAACTTCCGGTAAATAAGTGTACTTCCGACAAGCATCGGCCAAAGCGAAACGGAACCCGAAGCTGTCCTTGCACAAAATCCGAAGATGTGATAATTTGATAAACCAGAAGATGTGATAATTTTGACATACATGTTTAGCTGGATAACTATTCTCGAGTATATGTTGATATAATACACAATATATCGTATGCATAGCATGGGAATACCGCGGCCAACTTTCACTTGTTATCTATTTTAATTACTGACCCGAATCAAAAGTAATTATTTTCGACTGGAAGACTACTGTACGTTGCTGCTTGTCGGGACCGTATGACAATGAACCTATCCAACGTTACACTAGACATTTGTGAGGACATGCATATAGACATAACCATAGGCACTGTAGTGCATTGTGATAGAACAGATTTCAGTTTAATTAATCGCCCTATAAATTAAAATCTCCACAAGCGGAGGTCAATTATAGTGTTCTAGTTTACATATTATCATTAATGATAAGGTTTACTCAAATAGCGTATTGGATAAACACGGGAATAGAACTTATGGTGTATTCTGCACATGCGTATATCTAGGATAAAATCCCACAAGCGCAAACGTAACTATTTCTCTATAAAATTGAACTGAAAAGACTCACAGCGACCGTGTCCAACAGTGCTTCAGGCACCCGACGACACCGTATGGGGGGCCTTTAGCACTGTCACCTTCTCATCTTGGGATATTCACGTTATCGCGTGTACATGTCAGAGTGACAAAGATGCATTATTGCTAATATTGTCTGTGTGCACTGATGCACGCTGCATTATTTTTAATAATGTTGTGTGCTATTTTAACGCGTACATAGAATATGACGCGTATAAACATTTACCCCTGAGCCGGAACTTCCCTATACAACCAAAAAGGCCGCTCCCGTTTTTCAGTAGAACGTTAAATGAAAACTTCTCGACATTCGCTGATATAATGCAGAGAGAAAACAATAGGTTTGATGAGGGCCAGTAATTATTATCAATAAAATATTAAAACGGAGCTTTGATTAACTGATTCACCATTTATACTAGTGAACTATTAAACTATCGTGATTTACACAATTTTTGGATATTTACCAGACGATCCCCTATCCACCGACCCGAGGTTAACGCCGAGTCGGCGTCTTGTTTGAAAATAATTTTGAAACAAATGATAGCGATATTACATTTATTAAACGACGTTTCGATGCTACAGCGTGCATCATTTTCAAGTTATAGTATTACATATATTGCATGCGTTGATTTTAATTAAATCGTTCGTGTCACGTTAGCAAATTATTGCGTAAGCAGGCAAAATTTAAATTTATATATGACGTAATAAATTACATAAATTACATTTAAAAGAAAACATAAAACAGATTAAACATATTTCTGTCTTTCATAAATATCTAACATGTACACAAAAAACAACAACAAACAAACATACTAAACAAAACAAACATAAAGCCCATTAATTATAGGACTAAGTATAAAGTTTTGAACGAATCGAGTCCGATTGAGTGTTCAAGGACGACGATAGTTCCTTTATAATATACAACATTTCGTATAGAAGACACTCACACTCATCGGTAATCGGGAAACATATGAGGGAAGATCACGAAGAGGATGCGTCGAGAATTGAAGGTTGCTTTTCAATTCTACGAAAATGCCAAGGAAAGTATGAGTGTCTTCTATACGAAATGTTGTATATTAAGGAACTATCGCCGTTCTTGAACACTCAATCGGACTCGATTCGTTCAAAACTTTATACTTTATACTTAGTTCTATAATTAATGGGCTTTATGTTTGTTTTGTTTAGTATGTTTGTTTGTTGTTGTTTTTTGTGTACATGTTAGATATTTATGAAAGACAGAAATATGTTTAATCTGTTTTATGTTTTCTTTTAAATGTAATTTATGTAATTTATTACGTCATATATAAATTTAAATTTTGCATGCTTACGCAATAATTTGCTAACGTGACAGGAACGGTTTAATTAAAATCAACGCAATATATGTAATACTATAACTTGAAAATGATGCACGCTGTAGCATCGAAACGTCGTTTAATAAATGTAATATCGCTATCATTTTATTTTCGCTGATAATGCCATCAAGCTTGTTACAACAGCTTGTTCCAAATTTTTTTGAATATTTTCAGTTAAAGTCTGTGCAAAATCATTGTTGATTACTTTAAAAGATATTAAAAAGAACTCTTTCAACTCTTTGTACATTTTACGCAAGGTTAATGCAGGAGTATACACTTAATTATCTAGGGAGGGGCGATGCGAAGATTTTCCGTGTACAAAAATATGTTTATGACAGTTGCTTTATTAGAATTTACTATATATAAGGTGCATGGGTGGCTGCGGTTTTATCCGGTAGTTTCGCTTCCCATTGCTTGCATAAATTGTCCAGGGACCGGTTGTATAAAAACGTAATTAGCGCTAACTGCAGTTAAAAAGTAGTTAAAGTTAACTATGCTTTAGGGTATAGTTAACTGTCCAAAACGTAGTTAAAAATGGCGTTTGTATAGGAGTGAACAACATTTTTCAGTAAAACAACAATGAAAAGCAACGGTTACCTGAGATTTTCAATCGATATCTTCCCTGTGAATGTTTCCTGACAATATAAACTCTTCAAACGCTATCGCTTTGGTGTTTTTACGAAAACAGAACATATTTTTGTACAGGACGATTTCTCGAAGACGAAGTATGGTCCATTTACACCAAGAAACACTGATATATAATTGCCAAACAGCTATACTTTGAGTTAACGTAGACATCTCCAGGAAAACTGCATTCTTTTATGATTTTTGTGGCGGTTTTTCCTTGTTTTCTTGTTTAATTTTCACTTTTTTCTAGTGTTTTGAATAAAATTCCCGCCTATTTGCAAAATACGAGTCCACAATCATGTTGAAAATGTTTGTCAGTGGTCGTTACTCGCTGCTTACTTTATGTAATTTTGTGTTTAAACGCCCCACGCAAGCCCCACGCACAGTCATAGATTAAGTAAGAACAGATGTGTAACTTCAGTAAAAATGCTGTCCCATGGTCGCCATCTTCCTAGCAAGTGTCGCTCGCGTGATTATTCGTCATTTGGTAGTACGTCATTGCCTTCAAAAATGTTTTCAACACCTTTTCTACAACTTTAATTGCGTTCAAAAACTTTAAACATTCAACAAATGATGCTCTTGATTGTTTAATCCATAAATTTCGATCCAAGAAAGCCGCAATAAAATGCAAAAGTTCATGTTTTGCAGGACGCCATCTTCCTAGCAAGTCTCATGGCGTGAGCATGACGTGTACACATCTAGGGAAATTTGGGGACACGAATTCCTATTAAGTTACACATCTGGTATATACTTCATCTGTGGCACAGTTAACTACGTGATTAGTTAACTATCCGACTAACTACGTTTTGTGCAACGCAGAACAGGTGGGAAATTTGTTGTCGCTGACCAAAAAATCGCGGGCAGAAACAAAGCTCATTGCATTTACATTCAAAACAAAGCAGAAAGTTAGCAAGAAGCTGTTTTAGCTGACGATTTTTTGCTTTCCATTCAACGATTTACAAATTAACGGTTATTCTTTTAAAAGTCGACTATGAATTCTTTGGATTGGGATGATCTGTTTTGTAATCGAGTGATTGGAAGAAGTTAATATGGCGACGTGAACTTGGGAGTAAATTCCGTATACGTCGATCTGTGGCTTGTTTAAAACCGTAATAAACGAAGAAAGACGTGATATGAGAATGAAATGTGAGTTGAAATTAACCTTATATGCCTCAAATTTTCCATCCTATGTCTCTTAATGTAACTTCAGTTGTCTAAGTTCAAAATACAAGCTCGCGAAATTTGACAAATTTTGAAAATATGTAAAAATAGCTTGACTTTGAACTGTATTTTCTCAAAAATAGCCCGTGGCCTCAATTTCAAATATAGTTAAATGAAAAGAAAAAACTTTTAGGCGTTTGTAAGTATCAAACAGATCGTCAGGAAAATAGGGGCTCACAATGTTTTAGCTGAATCTTTGAGACCCAGTTGCTTCGCACGCGTTGTTGTCAAATTTTTGCCAAGAATCAAAGGCCGAAATGTGAACTTCCTTCTTGAAAACCGCTTCGAGAAGGGTCTAGTTTGAAAATTTAGCTATTAATTTCGATTTCATGAGCATATTTTGGTTACACGTTAAATATTTTTGTACTTGATGAGATTCAAAATTTGTTGTATATTCAAGCCCGGCTTTAGTGTAATTTGGGTGATGACCGCAACAGAAATAAAGATATTTTAAAAACTGGCCGTGGCCTCACGATAAAACTTTCTAAAATTGTTTTCTGTTTCATGTACTTTTATTTGATATCTTAGGTATAAGCGTAAAAATAGGGGCTCATACAGTTTACGAGGTTGTAAAATGCACGACTTGCCTCTATTTTCATGTAAACATTCGAAATTTTTCGACAGCAAAGTAGCAACTGTTTCAGATCGAATGCACACGGACAGCCCACCAGAGACAATGGCAGGGTACTGAATTAGAACGTCACTAAAAAGTTCTGTATGATTAATTTAGATCATGTCCATTTTCAACATAAAACAGTCATTTCTTTTGTACAAACATTTGGCAATATTTACACGATTGTGCCTTTTTGTAAACACGCGTTGCGTGTATTCCACGCAATTGTGTGGCTCATTTTGCTCGCGCATGCTCAGACAAATTTCCCACCTGTTTGCAACGCAGTTAAGTCATGTAGTTAACTAATTACAGTTAAGGATTTAACTACAGTGATTAACGTTAGCGCTAACTACGTTTTTATACAACCGGCCCCAGAATAAACGTCAGGGATGAGTTTATTAACATTTTCCACCTTCCAACTCATTAAGCGGCAATGCGCCCGAATGCGCCCTGAGATTGGCAAGGGGGTAAGCGGCAATGCGCCCGAATGCGCCCTAACATGACTCCTTAACTTGCGGGCATGATATTTGAGCACGTGTTTATCGGGTTGCCTAGCAACGGATACGCCGATACGAAAATAGAACGTGAAATTCGAGCTTTTCAACGGTGTATCATGCAAGAAAATCGGCCAAAAACTCGCAAAGTTTTTCAAGTTTAAAACCTTAGTTTTTCAAAAATAATGAACAATGGCGATACTGTTGCAAAGAATGGTTTTACAGCAAGTTTTAAAAGCGAAGAAAGAAGAGGTTTTTGAATCATCTACAACGAAAATTTGGCATGAAAGGAAAGCGAATGTATTGACGTTTTGGGGCCAAGTTCTTCTGTGAACCATGCGCAAGATTTTCAGCCAAAAAGATGAGGATTTCTCCAAACTTTATTAAAAATAAAAGTCGGAAATCACAAGAAAGATGAACACGGAACTCAAGTGAGCAGATAGAAATATGCGATCAAACACTCACAAAATTCGACCGCATTAAAGTTGGTTGAATCTAGTTTAAAGTTATCTTTTTAGACGAACTGTTTATGCAAATTTGGGCACAATTTGGACTGTTTTCGTAACCCCATTGTTGGTCTTCTTGTTCAAGTTGTTATTTTAGCTAAAGTATGTTTCAAACGACACCAGATTAAATTACTGTGTGCGTACGTGTCCTTTTTGGCAAGAATACTTCGCGTATTAAATTACAGTAAGTAAGTAGGATACTCCAAAATCACTGTTACATCTATTTTCATCAATTTAGTCTTAAAACGACAACTCGTTTCAGACATATTGTGGTTTAAAATAAGTGTATTGAATTAGTGCGCTTGCTTGCCGCGTGCGAATTTTCAAAAAGTCTGCACTTGAGTTCTAAAGCTTTTAAAACGCTTTTTCTATTGGGTTTTATATCCCCATAAACTTTAAATCGATAAATCAGATAATAATGTTGATGCAACCTCATTTCCTAGTAACTACGCGTTGAATCAGAGGGAAAAGTTATCGATAATAGTCAATAAAATGAGGTTTTTGCTCCCGACAAAACAACTTGCATTCTCTTCTTCGTCTCTTTATTCCAACCAACCATTTTGAGAAACTTCTATGGTCAATAACTATTCACATGCTTGCGCCTTAGGACTAATAAAGGTCATAAGCTGGCCAACCAGCTCACTCGACTAAAAATCATGTTATAATACACAATTTGGCCCAAGTAAGTAAGAAATTGATTAATATAAGCCTTCTGAAGCTGTTGTCAGTAACAAATTAACCAGCATTTCATACAAATTTCTTGACAACAGTTGCCAGGTTCGCCTGGCTCCTATGAGGCAAATGACAAACTAGCCCTGAAAAGAAAATCCAGCCATGTTTGCTGGGCTAGCATTGCCCATTTTGACAGCCCTTAACAGGGAGAGCTTATTTTTGGAAGGGAGATCTGATTTTTGGAAGGGAGGCCTATTTGTGAGGTTACTGGGGGCTTAATATTGGATTGCATTATATAATATGTGTAAAATATTAATTTGTGCACAGGTATTCTGGTAATGCACAAATTTATGGACTAAAATGTTTCCAATTATAGTAGATCGGGATCTATTGGGGACCTGTTTATATGATCTAGACTATCCAGAACACATGCTTGAAGCCTAATTCATGTTGCCTGTTTGGTATACAGTGCTTATTGTATATGGTGAATTTCTTGGCTTACATATAACCAGGATTCTAGGCCGATAGTAGCAGGATAGGATAGAACATACTGGCAAATGTCGTCTCCCACCTAGCCAGGTAATATGAACAGGGCCCAATTGTGACAAGTGAGCCAGATGAAGTAAAAAAACAATGAAATTCATATACAGGTATGTCCATAAATTTTGATACCTGAACAGCAACATTGAACAAAATCATTCTGTCCCAATGTCATCCATCTTCCTTAAGTTTAGGACTCTGAGACCAATGAATATATTGTCATTCAAGGATTAAAAACAGTGAAGACAAGCTGCAACACGCAATGTTGACACATTATTTTGAAGTCGACTAAGCTCGACTAAATGTCGAAATCGACGAAAAATGAGCCAAAAAACAGTTATTGAGCTAATCAATCAAATAAATACTTGGCATAAGTTTGAAGGTCCATAGTCCAAATATTTTATGAGTTTCTTTATCCCATTTATACCAACAAAATTTTAAGATATTCGCCATATTGATCGCCACGCTGTTTGACAAGAAATCGACATGTCAACTTGTCCCGGCCCGGAAATGTCCTGTTTACTTGTTACACAGGATATTAATAAGTTAATGTGAAAATATGAAGATAAAAGTATCTTTTAAAAAATAAAACGTCTCAAACCTCGATTTGAAAGGCTTTTAAAAACGCTAATCCGTTCGGAACCTACAAATTCGAGGGGTGGTATTTAAGCTTCCGCAAGGCAAAGTTTGAAGACCCATATCTTTGCAATCACGCAATTAATCAAAAATCGCCACGAGGAAGTTGAGGAGAATTCTTTTAAGAACAACATATATGAATTTCATGGCCAAAAAGCAAAATACCGCTTGCAGAGAAGCTCTGAAGTAACCCCATATGTTTGTTTACAAATTTCATGTGATGAAGCGTTTTACGCATTCTGATTGGCTTAGGGCAAAAATGTAAACAAAAGTGCTGATTGGTCGAGAACGAAATTCCCCCTTGTTGTCCTAATCTGTTTTCTCGCGTCATTCGTCATTTCATAAATACAGATTATTTACAGGATTAAATAGCGGGATTATTGATTACCAAGGTTATATTTTATAGGATTAAGAATTATTATTGATTAATGTATTAAAAAAATAATTTATTTTCAAAATCTACTTATGAATGATGGATTATTCGTATGCCTAATCTGACCGTTTGTCTGTTTTGCTTGTTATTCGGAGAATATACTGTATCTGCCTTATTTGCAACCAATAAATAAAATTAAATTTGGCCGTTTTATTTTATAATATACAACACAGACAAACACTCAATTTACAATGCATGACTGGTAACTTGAGTGTTTAATAATAAATAAAGGTCAATTTACAGATGTTATTTTGAGTATCTGCGCAATGTCGATACGAGATACGATAAAATAATTTCCCAAAACAGGGTTTTTCTTTGGTTATGTATATTAATACAAGTATAATCTTAACCACCAACTGAGAAAATAACAATTGTACCAGAAATACATGCATGCAATAACCCCTCGCCCGTTTTCCAAAGATGTATACTCAGTGCTGTTGCGAACACTTCGTCTCAGGGGGGGTGTGAGGTTAGATAGGAGTGGGTGGG